TATATATATATATATATATATATATTTGTGGCCGTTAATTCACAAACCCATCTGTCAGGCTATATGTAGCTACCTGAAAAACAAAAAACTACCCACTTGAAACCAAGTTCTTTCGTTCTTCAGCAGCACAGCACATCACATCTGATTCGAGAGATACTCATTGTCATTGCTCTCACATAATGCTGAGGCAATCTGCAGGATCAGATTAACTAGAAATTTGAATGAGAACCAACAGTGTGTGTGTGTGAGAGAGAGAGAGAGAGAGAGAAAGACTCGAAGGAGGACCATATTTATGTTAAACTCAGGTGAAAGGTCGCGATAAGCACAAATTTGGAATCGGTCGAGTAAATAAAAAGATCAGAAGAGAGAAAAGAATTATTTCGGCGTATCTTTAGGAGAAAGGAAGCACTCTTCAAACTGGAAAGCTCATCCATAAAAACAATACGCATGATGAACAGCAGAGATTTGATTGCAATCACCTCAAGTGAAGCGAACACCGATGTAATTATCATATGCCCACTGTTACTGCGGCAGAGAACAACTCCCACTTGAAGATTTGCTCTGACAATGACCAAGTTGGTCAATTTAGATTAAAGGACCTGTTGTTTTTCATAATACATCATTATGCAATGAACAAAAGAAGACGTAAACCTCATACTTACAAGGGCCCACTGTTCATTCATGGTAACCGAGGCCTTGAAGTGGTGAACTCCTTAAGGCCCTAACAGGATAGGCGTGATATTTAGCTGGTTAACACTGAAACTGTTGTCATTGTCTCCCGAATAGATTTATGAGCAACGCGAAGCCAAGAATGGATCACAGAACGTCGATAAAACGAACGATCCAGAAAATGGCTACGGTACTGCAATAATGAACAATCAAATAAGCAAACAAAATGTGTGCAAACATCAAAAGTGACCTCAGAATAACTTGAAAGCAAGAGCCAAACGTTATAGTGAGCGTAATTCAAGGAATCTGAAAGGAATCAATGAGTCTGGGCAGGAATAGCACGCCCACCGTCATGCTGCACTCGAACGAGTCAAATGTGAGCGGTCAGGTAGCGATTAAAACAAATAGGGTACGAATGAAGCAGTAAAACAAACAAAGTCAGATAGTGGGATCGATGTGTAAATATACAAAGGAGGTGGAATGTCAAATGTTTATGTATGTATGGGGCGAATGAAACGTGAAATTCACGGAAAATGGATCAAGGTGGTTAGTCTGGGTTTTACAGGAAGGATTTTCACAGATCGATCAATACACCGCCCGGTAAAATCCTTCCTTGCGTCATACGGTCAAAGGGAAATTCGAGGGAGTACCAAATCTCACCTTAACTACCTAGCCCCTACGGTTGTCATTCTACTGTGACTCTAGTCGTTCTCTCCGTTTCCGACAACTCAGGAGGTTAGCCACAAGCCGTTTTTCATGACTCACAGTGCCTCCATCGCTAACCTGGAGGATTCCTCAACTGCTGGTGTTCCCGGTCTGCTTCGCCTCTTCTTCCTCCAGGTAGCAGATTCGGCGGATGTCTCGCAGAGTTTCGCCAGTCGTCATCTTAACTTTAACCGTACGTACGAGTCCGTCTTCGTCAGGGGTGGCATTCGTTAACGACTCCCAGAGACCATTCATCTCTTCGTCATCGTTCGTCTGCGAGCAGCATTATGTTACCGACCCGAAAGTTTCTTTCCTCAAGTACCCATTTTAGGCAAATACTCTCGAACCCACAGCTTCCAGAAAACTCTAGCCAGGTAGGTTGCTTGATTCCAGCCGGTCGAATAATATTTGGTGATTGTTCGGGGTACCCCTAGTCCGTGATTTGATCTCAAAAGTATCAGGTCGTTAGGCGTGAGTGCGAGACCCGGGGCTTCATTCGCAACTGGGGTCAGGGGTCTATTGTTCAGTATCCGCTCTACCTTGATCAGTGTTGTACCTAAGGTTTCATCGTCGATGGCCCGTTGATTGCACACTGCCAATAGGATCCTTCTCACCGATCTTATCATATTTTCGCACATGTCTGAATTCAGACTGTACCAAACAAATCATGGTACAATGATCTTTATGAAGTTGAATCAAATCCTCCATTACTCACAACGAATAATGTTAAGAATGCTGAGTTGAAGGTGAAGTCAGACTTTGCATTTGCAATCCAAGCGACAAATAATACCTAGTTAACCGATGACAGTAGAGACGAGTGCAACAACTACCAAATTGAATGCCTCAATTTATGGACAGTGACGGGATAAAAGTGCTTCACGACGAAGAAAATGAGGAGAAAATTTGAGACCAGACTCTAGCCGACAGTGCACATAATTTGGTTAACCCCATTGTAAACACACACGGGAGTCAAACCGAAAATAAATCTACAAAGTGCCCCTTCCAGCAGCACCCGAGCAATTTGGCATCTTTCTCTCAGATAGAAACAAAACAGGTGAAGATCGATTAATATGAAGCAGCTCCCTACAAAATCCAATGTCAAATCGATCTCAGTCAAAGTAAAGTAGATGCGAATAGAACAAAAAATGACATGAAGTGAAAACAAAACTTCCGACCAGTCGCTAAGGCTTTTTTTCATAAAACCGTTACCAGGACAACAAGCGTTGATGAATTGCGAATAAGTACACAACTAGCATTTGTCCCAATGTCAAAGCAAGCTGAATTTGGGTAGTGGGACATGATAGTATGCGCTGTTGGCGTACAGTGTGTTAGCGAAATCCGAGGGTGGATGTCCAGGATTTCGGAACATTTATCCTGGGAAATGACACTCTTTTTGTACGTCATAGTTGAGATAACAACCGAGTTTAGATTGGAATAATGATAAACAATGACAACAGTAGATCTTTATCACAGACATGTGAATTTCATTTACCTTCGATTTACAGAATTTATTACGTAATGCGGAATTTAAAATAATATTTAGGGAGAGTAGGACAGAAAGGAAAGTGAATTCAGAAAGACTAGTGGGCATATATTTTGACCCCGCAGAAAAACAAAGTTGTAGCTATATGAGATCATCCAATCGAGGGAGCGCGTCTCAAAGATAAAAATGAGCATAATAATAATGCTTTCAATGAACATGATCGAACAGAATATAACAGTGTACAGCTCCAGTTACGAGCAAGACGTTTCACGATCAATAAACGCTGAATGACAGAAGTTGGTTCACAATGATTGTACCCGCAGATTGCCAGCAACCAACAGAAAGTACAAACGTACATGATGTATGAAGACCAAAGAGGCTGAAAGGATTGAACTGAGTTATTTTGTACAGTATTGTGAATATTCTTAGGATTGACATACATTTATTTGGCAGGTTTGCGACATTAAGCAATAATTTTCTTCACAATTTTGATCACACAACTTCCTCGACCCCAAAGGCTCTCAAATGAGCTCGTGAGAGAAGAATGCGCACTTTGTTTTCAACTGTACGGAACGCGAAGAACAGACCCTTGTAGTGGGTGGTCACGAGGTTGGAGGATGAGGTCTAGAGTGCTTATTTTTATTAGAGAACAACCACATGCACCAAATTCATTGTGGTGAATGTCATTGGGAAAGAAAAGTATAAGAATCAGTTCATAAAGCTATTCACTTCGTATCTAGGTACCAAGGTTTCACTTGCCGTCTATCGACAGTCACAGTTTTCATCGGTGGCTGAAGCTACTAATCCAGTTTTCTTGTTCGATTTCATCCAAAAAATCACCAGATACTGCAAAGGAAGATATCTTTGAAGACAAACAGTATTCAACTGTTTGTCATAAGCATTGATACTTCTGAACTATACACTAGGACTCACCGGAACACCGGAACATACAGTATACACTATAGCTTTTGAAGGATCAGTGAATATCACAGAAAAACCAGTTTTTGTTGCAGTTTATACAACCATTTGCATTTAAGTGCGACAGTTTTGACTGCTGTCTTTTGGCTGCCCATTGGGATGAGAGTAGAGACAAGAATGAGGATAGTGAAGGTGGGATCAAAGATGAAGAATTATTGTATACTAAGATTGCGAAGAAAATGAAGAGTCACTGTTTACGATACTCATATCACCCGGTGTCTCCAATCATCGATTATACTGATACCATGATCTTCTACCCCTGACCAAGGTTTTCAAACCCTCATGCTAGGTCTTAGTCTGACCAGCATTTTCTACGCTCACTACCTGCATCAGCAAACATCGCACCACAGAAAAAAAACTCTCATTACTCGCAAAGAAAACTGAACTGAAATCTGACCCCAAGGAGAAGGTGGATCAACAATGAAATTAGTTCAACCTATTCATCTATCTCTGAATGATACGGGTGTTGGTGCGCTATCCTTCGGTTCAATCTTCAGCATCTCCTTTCGGGATCCCAACTCCCAACCGGTTTCCATAACTGAGCAGTAGATCCTTGTGACCACCATTCTGTGGTTTAGCACGCTAGGATGCGAACTACATAATTATTCAAGCTGTCTAAAAATGCGTTGAAAATTACTGGGGTTTTCATTTAAGAGTTTGGGGTGTGGTATTTTACGATTGCCGTTAGCGTACTGTGTTCGCTTCTGTAACGAGAATCAAATTCTTCAAGTCTTGCGCCTGTTTCAACTTTATCTAACCCGCTATGCTTTTGTTTAAATCGATATATGCTGGTCTCGCCAGACCTCTGTGAATGAACCTGACCTTTCATATCACCAATGTTCCGTTATATAATGTGTTCTGAGCACCAACGCAGTGTGTATGAACTTTCATTTATTGTCGGATAAGTTAAAATTTACTACTGACTCCACTGTTGCACAACGGAAGATAAATTTATCTTTAACATGCTCTAAATTGGATAATCCACTATCGAGCACAATAGATTTAATGTACCATTCCTGGATGAAAATCTATCGAGAGGTGGTTCTTAAACCAGGTCAATCACAGTGATAAGGAAAATTTTACAAGACATCACAATTCAACTGATGAAATGGGGTAAGAATGTGTAAGGAACAGAAAATTTGATGTAATGACCGAAAAAAATGTGATGACATAAACGCAAACAATTCAGTCCACCCCCCCCCCCCCCCCCNCCCCCGCCCTAAATTCACACTGGTATATTTCTCAAGAGTGTCTGGGTGTGTTTTATGAGCTTGACGTTCTGGTGACTACGGGGTTAATTGCTCTTCACATTGAGACACTTAATAAGGAAAACGTCACGTGGCCGGAAAAACCGAATACAAATTGTCACTCGTGACTATTCCTGAAGAAAGAAAGCCGTGTAACATTGAGTTTCGTTGGCAGATCTAGTCTAGACTAGAAAGCGAGATAGAAAGTATCGCAGCCATTCAATCCGGAGAGAAAGACTGACCTGCAGAATATTTCGTCGATTGTCATCCGCGCTGAGGCAAAAACTTTTCCGGTTCCGTGCGTTCTGTGCCGTGTTGGATGAACCACAACGCGTGTATGGACGTTCGCCGTTAGACTGCTAGAACAGAGAAGAGGGATGAAGGATAGAGTAGATACCTAAGTGATATGGGGACGGACGGTTTGGGTTGAACAAGAGCGTGACCAGCGAGACTGAACAACAACTTTCTAATTCGAAAAGAAAGTGGTGGGGATATCGCGTAAAAAATTTGGCTAGATGTACCACCAAGTGTTGGTTGATTCAAAAAGTGGAAGGCATTTGAGTGAGGATGTTTAAAGATTCTAAAAGGTATCAAAAACGGAAAGGAATAGCCTAAATAGCAATTGATGTTTACGCACTCAACAGTGTCAATGCAGCAAGTAATTGACACGGCAATAAAGCTTCAACCGATAACCCGTCAAGTTCATGATCGAGACAAGAATGAACGTTAGTTTTACTAACGTTCATTCCGACGCGAGTTCAAACACTCAAGGGACAGGTTGACGAACGATCACACGAGGCTTTGAAGGTACTGAAGGTCGAAATACAGATGGAACGTTTAGAATACTTGTGAAAAACAGTTGTTTGATTTGTATTGGTGAGAAGCGAGAAAACGCTACGCAAGCACACAGAGACACACCAGGAACGCGCGTAAAAGTAGCATTCTGAGTCATCGCTTTGTAGTTCTCACTTCTCTCTTAACCACACAACCGAACCTTGTAGCCATGGGGTCTATTGCATGACACATTGACATTTAATTAAAAAAATCACGATCCTCATTAGTCATCCCACAATCGCCAATTCCATCACGTTACAGAGGAATAAATTTGCATGAATTCATCTGAGTACCTTCAATTTAATCAATGTCAGCAAGGTACGAACAAAGAGCCAGCATGTGGCCTTGATTGTGAATTCATGGAGTTATTTTCCGGTGCACTCTGTTCTCCAAAAATACACAACTCGCTATTAAAATAGGCTGGTTCCACAATTGAGCAATAATGGTTGCCGATAGCAATCAACGATATTGCAAATGCAAAGGGTATATAGGAACAGAAGAGGAACGCAAAGTCTCTCTGTGAACATTTTGATTTCAATATGGGGAGAAACAACATTTACAATCAGCAGTGTTCTACTCTTTTGTTAAACACGGATCGAAGTGAAAAACCGGAGGTAAACACTAACCTGGTTTACTCGGTGTGCCGGGTCATCGGTGGGAGTTACCTGAACTGGATCTGAATGAGAATCGGACACTGGTTTGTCCGTCGGCAAATCGTTGCCAGTCTGGTCGTTTTCCGTGAAAGGGACGCATGATTTGATGTCCACCACATAAGTGCTCACAAGGGAGTTAGAGATACTGGCTCCAACAAGTTGGTTAAAACTAGGTGCAATTGCCATATCGTCCAAACCACCAGCCGTTCGCCAACCTACGTGTACAGTTTCTAGACATGTCATGTTCTCATAATCGTAAATCTGAGATCGGGTTTAAGCGAATAGAGCAAAATGGGAAGCAGAAAAGATGAAAGCAACATTATGGGAGTAAGTATTGTTATGATGGATGATATACATAATATATATATTACAATAAGTAGTATCTGACTGATGTGATAAGATTTCCCTGTACACCAACTAAAGGTTTTGCGATGCATGCCGCTTGTCAGGTATACTCATCCGGTAATCTTTTGTCAGTTCATTCATATGATTGTACTGTGTGTATTCGACAAACGTACCTAATTCACAAAGCCGATCTCATTTATTTGGAACTAGTCCTGTTACATATATATATACCCTTTGGCAACAGTTAAAGGCCTTGCGTGACAGGTCTCTAGGAGCTCCCACACGGGTGATTCGTTCACACTCCCGCGTTGGATTTACGCCCCACTGCCTTGTGGTTCAGACTTTTGAGTCGAAGGCCGCGGTTAGGGTTCCCAAAGAAAAATCCCTTTGTCGGTGTGGGCAATCGTAACGTATGCAGTGCCCTAAAGTTTTAGGCACCCATTTGGAAAAACCTCTTTCCGATTTATCTAGTTCTTCCTATCAATCCCGAATAACCCCAGACGCCTGTTTACACCACCCATCGAATATCACTCAGTGTTTTACCATCCTGGCCAGAGATTCAGAAGCTATAGGATTTTTAAAGCCAAAATTTCCTTTTCACTTAGCCGCCTCCAATGTCCGCACACCTTATCAGATGGGTCAGCAAGCTGCCTTGGCTAGAACCCATGAAACTTTCAATTTAGATGTACGCTGTCTCCCAAACACGCATACAAGACCCTACTTCAATCATTTACCTGCTTTCTTCTAACCCAACCTTGATCTCACGCTTTACCCTCCTCCTCAGGCGATTCAGTATCCGAAGCCCGCGGTGTTGGGATTGCGCTAAGTGCCGAGGCTGGGCGTTCGCTTCTTGACTGGATTCGTCAGTAGCCGACTGTGCGCTGTGCGTC